GAAGCCGATCTTGCGCATGCCCTCATAGGCCAAGCAATGTGCTCGGATGGTCCGGAACCGGGCATCTCCAAATAGGTGGCCGAACTCCTCCAGCTCCCTGGCCCCCATCACCTGGTGCATGTAGGGGATCTGGTGGCGGAAAGGGAATGAAGTAGCCCAGGAGGCGTTCCAGCCACCTGGCCCTCAAGTGCTGTTCCAACGCTCGTTGGGATGTCGGCAATTGGGTTTTGATCTTCCCTGGTTTCCAATGCCGCCACTTGTTGGCCACTGCCAGGACATCCGGGGCCTCAATTGATCCGGAGAGGATCCACTCCTCGCGGTCCCGGATGGCCTGCTCCATTTCCAGTGGAGAATAGGTGTGCGATTGTCTGGCGCCTGCCGCACGAAACAGAAGTTGTTGCAGGGTCTTAGTAGCGAGCTCCAAATCCGCCTCCTCCAGCGGTTGTGGTTGGGAGCCGAGTATCCTTGCGAGGATCAAGTTGTAGGTGTCCGAGGCCACCAGGACATGGTTGCCGTCAGGTGCCAGCCCCACGATTCGTGTCCACGGTCGCGGGTCAAAGACCACCGCATCCGGGTTGGCAACCTGGTCCTTTTTGACCCATTCCAGGCAGCACGCCACGAGGATTTCCCCGTCCGACTGCACTGGTGCAAATCCAAGGTCATGCAAAATCAACTGGAACGCGGTTGGTACCCCAAGGAAGGTCGTTCCAAACGGGGAAGGGAGGCGGGGCCTCCACATCATCGTGATCCACTCGAGCCAGGAGCCTAATTCCTAGGCGCAAACCCCAACCAAACAACAGGGGAGCCCCCAAAACCCCGGAAAGCCCATCCCGAAACGGGGGAAAAGGGGGGGGGGACCCAGGGAGCCGCCCCGGAAAGGGAAGAACCAAACAAGGGAGGGGAGCCAAGGCGCACCCCGGACCAGCCCAAGCGCGCCAATTTTTCTCGCCTGGTACAGGTCTAGGCCTGTGCTGTGCCCAGGGGGGGATATCAGCGCCCTCGGCAGCTGTCCCCCCGGGGTGCGCTGCGAATCCGTTCCGGATGGCCGCAGTGCTGTATGATCATACGGCCCCCTTTGCAATGTCGTCAATGCGCTTGAGCGCCGCCGCCTCCGGATTCCGGAGAATCAGCTCCCAGATGGCGTTTGAAACATGGCCGGTCTGGGTGATGTGGCTGAACCTAAACCGGGGGACTTTCTGGTCCACCACGGAGACATCCCGCAGCGGGGCAGAGGGCTCTACCCGGCGGTAGAACTCCAACCGCTCCTTGACCCAGCGGTTGTACAGGCCATCCGGCGGCTCGTCCAGCACCAGCTGAAGGATGGCCTTGCCGGCCCGGATCTGGAGGAGGCGGGTGCCCCCTCCCCCGGCGCGCCAGTACCCCTTGCAGTACTTGCACATGTAGCCTCCCCGGGTCTCCCCTTTTGTCTTCGGGATGAGTTCCCACGACATGACGGAGCTCAGGACCAGGCCACACTCCATGTGCGCCCAGAAGACATGCTGCGTCTCCGCCGGATAGTTCTTCTTCCGGTAGTCCTTGCCCACCACGCCGTGGACGTTGTCCGATGTGATGGGGGGGTAGACGATCCCCTCATCGCCCTCTCCTCCCCTGGGGCGGATGTCAGGGCCATCGGCACCTGTCCGGCACCCAGGGCGGAGGGGTCCAGGCCCATCAGCTTGATCATGTCGTTGGTGTAGCCGAGCTTGCGGTAGATGGAGGGGGCCACTGAGTCGGGGACTGCGCCGACCCACCACTGCTTCGTGTTGCAGCGCCAGTTGACCTTCACCTCCGCCAGGGCCCCCGGGCCTCCAATGCGGTCCATGAGGGCCTTGTACACCTCTGGGAACTGCTGGAGGCTCTCCACCGGGACCGAGATGCGCTCGTCGCATACCGCCCGCAGGATCATCTGCTCCTTGGAGTCCGCCACGTCCTGGACCGGGAGCTGCATCACCTCCGCCGGGGTGTCCGTGAGGAAGGCCCGGGCCGCGAGGACCTTGCCCATGGCCCGGTAGACCAATCGCCACTCGGTCCTGTCTGCGGAAACGGAAGGCCCTCCTCCTTCAGGAAGCACCGCGCGTCTTCCTTCAGGGTCTCCCAGCCCTCCAGGCGGATCTGATTCTGGGCCTTGTTCTTCGGGCCCCGCTGCCTAGGGCCCTGAAGCAGTGGCAGGGACTCCCAGACTCCCCAGAGCTGGCGCAGGGTGAAGCTGTGACCAAACATCCCCAGTAAGCCTGGAAGTGTCCAGGACGAGATCTGGCGCGCCCAGTGGAAGTCCTCATCCGGATCGTAGGGGGCCGCCCAGAAGATGGAACGCAGGTCCTCGGGGTAGGGTCGGTCCCCCGCCTTAGCCTGCTGGTTCAACTCATCAACGGAGTACCTGGCCCATGGGAGTCCACCCACCTGGTGGTTCCTGGGATGCGTACCCTTCTCCAGCGCCTCCGGATTCACCTTGGTGAGGTTGTTGGCCCAGTCCGGGACGTGTACGGGGCCCGGTCGTCGGACCCAGCGGCCCGCAAAGATACGGACCTCTCCGACCCGTTTGCTCATCATCCAGCGCAGGACCGCGAGCTGCACCTCCGGGTCCTGGGTATCCAGGCCCCCTGGGGTGGCAGACGGCTTGTCAGGGCCCTCGGCACCTGAGCTCGTCGCGCCAGAGCCCGAGGCTGGGGGGATGGTGGCTGCCTGTCAGGGCCCTCGGCACCTGGGCGCGCCGCACCAGAGCCCCCCGCCTTTGGAATGGGGATCCCCGCCAGATCCGGCAGATCTGCCAGGAGGGCCGCCGGAAAGGGGTTCCTACCCAGCGAGATGACCGCCTTGGCTTCGAGGTAAGAGTCCGTGAGGGACGTGAGGTCGTCCATGCTGAAATCCCTCCATGCCGTGGTCGGCTCAAAGACCCCCGTCTCAATGGCAACTCGGACCTCGTTAGGCCACGCACTGAATGGAGGCTTGATGGGCTCGAGCATTCTGGTCTCGTGGGCGCCCTTCGCTTGTCTGGCCTGGTGCTTTGCCTTCGCCTCCTCCGCAGTGGTCTGGGCCTGGAGGAGCTCCGGTGTGGGCCTCCCCCAGTCCGCGCCCAGCTTATCCAGCAGTTTTTCGCGGAAAAGGTCGAGTAGGCCCCCATCGCCTCCTCCATCAATGGCCCCTCCTTGAAGCTCGTGGAGGACCGCCGCGGATCGCTCCACCGCTGCCACCTGGTCTGCCTTCTTGGCCTCCTCCTGGGCAATGGTGGTGGCGTTGAGCCGGGTCTGGATTTTGAAAGCCTTCACCGCCGACGGGTGGAAGGCCCTGCATTCCTGGCCCTCTTCCTTGTCGCCCGGCAATGGAGGCCTCTCCCCCATTGGGGCCGTCAGGAAATCCTCGTCCAGCTCCATGGGGCAGTTCCTGATCACCGCCCGGACCGAGGAGGGGACAAAGTCCGAGAAGCTGGCCTGGTCCGGGTTCTCGCATGCCATCGGGTCGGTGGCCAGCTCGCTGACATCCACCGAGGCGCTGAGCTTGAGGTCGCGGGCCCGGTCCGTATCAGGGCCATCGGCACCTGCGGACCGGGCCGCCGTCCAGACCGCATTGCCCTGGTCATCCACTGTCAGCTGCCAGTGCGTGCCCGCCATTTCCAGGGTGGCCGAGTTGGTCGCCATGTCAATGGGCTCCGTCTTCTTGCCGCACCCCATACACTTCCTGGCGCCCTTCTTCACCCAGGGCATGGTGCAGCAGGGGCAGATCCAGGATGTGGGCTCCTTACCCAGGGGGCGGTTCTCCAGGCCCCCATACCCCAGGCCAGCGCGCTTGCCGACCTGCTGTCCCGGGGTGCTGAGCCGGGCCTCATGCTCATACTTCATCTTGGCGATGTAGAACGCCTCCACCACACGCTCCAGGCCCCCCTGCTTGAGTTGGGGGCCCTCAAAGCCTCTCAGGAGCCGCTGGACGTCCTTGGCCTGCAGTCGGCGGAGCCTAGTGGCCGTGGTCGCATCAAAACACGGGAAGTCGCCCGCCATCTGGTCATCGCTGAATTGGTAAAGGCCCTCAGAGACTTTGAGGGCCTTGGTGAAGACGCTTCCCCCCGGCGGGGGGGCTGCGGGGTCCTCATCCTCCTCCGAGGACGCCTGCTCCCTGACCTTCGCCATCAGATCACGGCGTCTCTGCCACTTGGTGTCGGACATCGGGAGCTCCTCCTCGTCTTCCGCCAGGAGTTCCTCCATGGGAACATCCTTCTCCGGCGGGTTTAGGAGCTCCAGGAACGCCCCTGGGGGGCGTGTCAGGGCCTTCGGCACCTGCGCCACCCCAGGGGCTGAGTCTGCCATCAGCTCGTCCTCTGCCTTGCGCTTGGCTGGGATGAGTGGGGCCTGCTCCAGCTCATCGGCGCTGGAGAAGAACCGCTCGTCAGGTGCCTGAGGGACCTCAGCAGCCAAGACGGTCCATCCTTCTTCCTCCTTCTTCACGAGGCTTGCCAGGTACTTCGCCATGGAGGCCTTTGCCTTCGCCTTGGCCTCTGCAACCGCGGCACCAGCGTAGGCGGGGGCGTACATGGCTTTGATAGGAGGGGAAAGAAAGATTTCAGATTACAAGACAGAAGGTCAGAGTCCACTTGAGCCAAAATGGTGGCCCAAGTGGACACTTATGAAGAGTCAAGACAAGCGACCACCTGCGGTTAACGCTTTAGCCCACTTTGCGAGATAAATGGCTCTCACACGCTTCCAGGGCACTGCAGTTGTCTCGCTCCAAGCAATGTGAGCATGCGACCACCAACACAATCCAAGAACATGTATGTCATAACCTCCAAACAAAGGGAAGCAGCATAAAATTGAGATGTCGCCACTTTGAGCCTGCTCCGTTGGTCTAAAGCAGTCAGCATTCAAAAGGTGGTGAGTGGCTGAAATGCCGCTGTATTGGTCCAAGATATTTATAAGTAACATTGCCAAACGATTCTTATAGTTGTTCTTGTCAGATGGCGCAGGCTATTGGCCAGCAGTCGGAAGTCAACCCCTCTACACTCTGCAAGTCTCCTGCTGGCCAGCATGATGGGCAGTCTGTGCACTAGCGCGTGACTGCTCTTTGGAAGCGGAGAAATGTCTGCGAAATGCACTGGCCTAAGCGCCTGAAATCAGAGGCTCGAATCGAGACAACTTTGACTCGCCGGTCGCAGCCAAAACGAGCTGTCGGAGGGACAAGCGCGGAATGCATCCAAAAGGGACTCTTGCCTTTTCGAGGGGAACAACACTAAATCCGCCGAGTTGGGCACAAAACAGGCTACCGGTCAATCGCTTGTTCAACTTCCCATCGGCGCAGAACGGAGGATGTGAGTCAAGAAATGCCGGGGTGTCAAAACGAGGAAACAAGAGCGTCCTTCTGGATGCTCAAATCGCGAAGCTGCACCCCCGTTTTTGGGCGCCCCAACCCAACATTCCTATCAGACTTGGGACCATGAGTCGGGTCGCCGGTGAGCGCAGTGGGATCGAAGTCAGGGACCTGGGATCGAAGCTTGGGCCTCTTGGCGCTTTGGCTCCTGTGTGCTTAAAAGCGCTCTGGCCTTCGAACCCAAACCAATCCAAGCCACAAATCTTCAGGGGTGCCGGCAACTAAGGGAGTTACACTCATGCAGATGAAAGTGAAGCCCAATGACTTGCTTTGAGTGGAAACCTTTTGCTTCTTGTCGGAACCCCTTCGGGAATCCTTGTCTATTTGCCAAGGATACGATCATCTTGACCCCAACTTCACACAACCCTGCTGCATTTTTGGGGGCCCGGTTTCCATTTGGCTTCCCCTGCCTGCGAGCAATTAGAACCACCAAAACCTCAAGACCCAACCCCCGCCCACAACCCCCCCTCAGAAAACAAACGAAACATCCTCCAGGAAAAAAAACAAGAAAGAAGCTTGCTGGCTCTCACATGCCCGGTCAGAGAGACAAAAACCCCGAGAAAAAAGCACCCATCCATCCTACTTCCTGGGTCTTTCTTCGGGAATCCCCCAACACCAATGCCTTCAACCCAAACCCAAACGACTTGCTTCACGCGTCATTCCAGACCCGGGACTCGCACCGATCGCGGGGAATTACCGCTTGGGAGCCCCGCCGCCAAGGAACGCCTCAGATTTTTGGACCACAACTCCCCATGCGAACGTCCGCCAAAATCGGCCCTTGGTCTTCCCCCCTTTGCTGAAGCGAACAGATGTTCCCCCGGTTGGTTTTCTGAAGGGAATCTATCAGAACAAAAACGCGGATGCGGTTCATACGCTGGATGGCACTGCACCACAGTTCAGAAACCCTGGCATGATGTGATTCCCGCAACGTAAATGCCAACAAGCAATGGTGTCCGATGGGTTCAAAGTGGTGCGAAATGGATTTCCTTCACCCGACAGTAGGTTTGGGCCAAAGCCAATGGTCATTTGCCCCCGCATTTACACCATCAGCTTCTCATTGGATTCGGTCCAGGCTGTTGAGGGTCCCTAGCAGTGGGTCAAGGTGGATCAAACAACTTGTCAACATAGAAAATTGGTTTCGCATACCTTAAACACAACAAACATGAGCAAACCCATGTTCTCGTGGCTGGTCCAGTAGTCAATTCCCCATTCTTTTCCACAACGGGATGGTGGGTTGGAGAGGTTCCGGAGTGGCTTCCCATTTATGTTCCTAGGGCTTCAATCCCCGAGACACCAATCCAAACCAGTTCCCTCAGAAACAGTAACCTGTGCTGCCCTCAGATCCCCTGCTGAAAGTTGAACTCTTGGTGGGTTGAATGGAAACTACCACTAAACCCTAAAAAGCAAGACAAAGCAAAAAAGTTAAGGAACCAAATGGGTGGGAGCCCCCAAGCAACTCAAAGACTTTCAAAGCGATGCACCGACCGGTGGATAAGTTGCACTTGGCACGAAAACGGCGACAGGAACCCAGGCAGGGTGTTCCACAAGCTGACCCCAAACAATTATGGCACCCTTCCGCACATGGAACCCGGAGAGTTCTGGGGAAAGGACCCCGGGTTGGAGCGGGGAAACTTTTGTCGAGGATGTCACTCTCTCAGACCCAGTTTCCAAAACCCTATTATTTTTCACCCTTTGAGTCCGCCTTTGATTCCCCAAATGGTTTCCCTGAGAGTGCTTCGTTTTACTTGGGGACCCCTCGGTGGACTTGAGGATTCATGTCCACGAACCACTGTGAATTTCCCATTCTTGCCCTTTTCGAGCCGTCGTTGGACATTCATGGCCCCCTAGTTCCAAACAGGACGAGAGGGGTGGGAGATATCTTTTAGTTTCCCTTTAAGCCAACAACACAAAAAACGGGGCGCCCCCCCCAAAAAAAAAAAACAAAAGGCAAAAAACACAAAGACCAAACACTCCCCAGCGGCTCCATGAATCGACGCGTCGTCCATCCCCCAAAAAAAAAAAAAAACGCCGCGGGACACCGCCCCCCTCCCCCCCCCCCGCCGCCTTCGGCGGCCTCCGCTTCCGCGGCCGCGAAGGCGGCCGAGAGCTCCCGGAGGCTCTGCGCCTGGCGCGCCGCGAACGAATCGCGCCGCTTCGCGCCGCGAGCGAAGGAACTGGGCGAGGCACGGGTTGGAAACCTCTGGGCCGTTCGGGGAGCCACTCAAAGAGTCGGGGGGGACCTGGAAATGGCCCCGAAAGTGAAGCCCGCGAAAACCCCGAAGATTCACCATGATAGGCACCATTGGCCCTAGAAGGGATTGGGGGGGGCCCTATTGGGGGGCACTTGGAAGGCGTAAAAAGATTGGCACTTTGGTGGCCAGTTCGGGCATTCATGTGTCCCACGTTTGATCATTTTTCATGTGGCTCCCGATGAAAATTCATGGCAAATTCACCCCATGGCCATCATATTCGGGCGGGGTGAGAAGAGGCAGCCACAGTAGTCGCGGAGGCTAAGTCTAGTCTGTGGAAAGCCAAATTTTGTCTAAGAAAATAGCATGAGAAATATCAAAATGACCTACAGGTGTCAACAAACAAAATTCCAACCGGACATATCCAGGTGACTAGAGGACCAGCTTTTTTAGCGCGAGCTTGGTATTCCCGAGTAAGCTTGTTATAAAGGAGACAGTGGATTTCCCGCCCAAACATTGCAACTTTCAAGTTGAACACGGCTGAAGCGGCCAGTTTCATCTGCGATGTGTGAGCCTTTCACAAAGGGAAACAAGAAGGACCTTAGTGTTGCCATATGAAGCCAACAAGAAGCCTGCCATTTGCAAGAATGGATGCCTCATTTTGCCACAGTGACGACTTGCGAATCCCTGAAGCACTTGGTCCTTGGAGGGTCAACCAAGCATCCTTTCTCTAAGGTTTGAGCACTTCAGGCCATCAGCAGAGAGGTTATGATCAAAACATACGTAAAGCACACGAAAGCTTGCGACAGGGAGAAGCAGGGAGTGCTTGAACATCTGACACCTGGGGACGGCCTTTGAAAGGCATACCTGACGCTTAGCAAGCGGCGACCCGGCGAACGGACAGTCGGCGCGCAAAAATCTCACGGCGACTTGCGAGGAGGGCGAGGTGATTCCCATGCGTTAAACCCGAGTCCAAGGTAGGTTGCCTTCAATTCTCAGGCTGGAGGCTTGGAGGGCGAGTGGTTTCTACCGTGACAAGTCCACCATCCGCTACTTGCCAAAGAGCGAAGCTTCTGGGGTTGTGCACACTGAAAATGACCCCCAAAGTCGTCCACTTGTTTGTTGTGCCTCGCAAACCCCCGAGATGAACTGTCAGGTCTCGGGCAAAGGCCACTGAAGCTGCCAATGGCAGCAAGGCGTAGCAGCGACCGGCATGCTTCCAAGTGTCCCCTTTCAGGTTCAAGTGGAGAGCCCAGGGAAGCCAGGGCTGTTTCTTTGAAGGGATCCGTGACGCGGATCTAACAAAGAAATTTAAGAAGAAAAGGAGCAGCTTCTCAGCTTCTCATCCTCAGCTTCATGGGCATGGCGGCATGGCTCTCAAATCAGCTTCTCATCCTCCAGTCGGCTTGGATTGGTGGGGTGGAACCACCCAATCCCGTCAATGTGCAAAACAGAAACGGCAGCTGAACCACCTCCAAATGCGCAGCTTCAATGGTCGTCAAAGCTCGGAAAGTGAAGGGGGCTGGGTGTGTCCCTTGAGTCGGTATCCTTTTTGGATGGTAAAAAAACAAAAAAGAGAAAACGATCTGAAGCACAGAAACAAGAATGTTGAGGTTCCCTATTGTGAGACAAGCCCGGCTGTTGTTTTCGCCGCGTGTTCTACAGACAAGCCTCGCTGGAAAAATGCACGAAGCATGCACCCGCTCTCCCTCCAATGGCTTGCCAGGTTGGCACAGGCAGCGACTTGACTCCTGGCGTTGCAATGTCGAGTGGGGCACTTCCGTTGCTTGCTGGTGCCCTACTGAGCACCAGCAAGTCAGAGCAACCCTGCTTTGCCAGAGTTTCCATCGAAAGCAAGAACAAACAGCTGGAGAAAGAAGGGACAAATCCAACCATGGAACTAGAGCTATTGGTCCCACTGGATGAAGTAAGAAGTTCTTGATCGCCAAGAATCAAAGCGCGGCCACCTTCCAGCAGCAAACAGGTGCCTCCCTTTCAAATCCTCTGGAATTGGAATCCTGCCTTGGAAGCTGCTATTGTGTGGAAACGATGGAAGCCAAGACAAGCTGCCGGGTCACAAACCCGCGTTTGAAGCAGACTGTGCGCGAAGCCATTTCTTGGGAAGGGAACTTGTTTTGTTTTTACCAAGACCCTTCTTCCCATTGCCTGGCCGCTGCCGCGTTCATTTGGCCCCCCCCCCAGAAAACGGCGCCATCGGCATCCTCCAGAGCTTCTTCGCCTCGTGCCTCGGAGCTTTTTTGCGCTGGGTCCCATGGTTTTTTTGCGAGGCTTGTACCCCGTTCTTGGTGGGTCGAGGGAAATCAACGGTTGAGATCAACCCATCATTTTTTGGGGAAAACCCCAAAAAACGCAAGACTCACACAGGGGAAAACCCCTTGAAACCCCAATTCTGGAGACCCGCATCCAGTTCACCCTGATTGCTCCAGACATAAGCCACTTGATCGCTTCTGGATATCTGACTTGCGGGCGCCGAAAAAAAATACATCAAGTGCCGGCAGCCGTAGCTCATTTGAAAATGGCCTCGTAAATCAGAAGAGCATTCTCCTGCGTTCAACTGCTTCTTTACAAATGTCTGTGAAAACCACGTTGAACGATTCACATTGCTCAGGTTCTGATTTTTAAGGTTCTGATTGGCCGTGCTTCTGCAGTTCCAGTTGATCGGCGATCGGGATGTGATACTGCCTGTGGGATGTGCTGAGCGAAGAAAACCGAAGCCCTGCTACTCACCGGTGCCAAAGCCACATGAGAAGTCTAGGCTTACCTGCCAACAAGCATCCTTGACAAGGTCTCCTTTAAGCAAAATGACACGAAAGTGCACTTAGATTGTGCATGTGCAAACCACAACCCCAGCGCACGAATATGCTGCTCGTAAGAACTGCGGAGACCCTAAGTTCCAGACACGCTCACCAGGAACTGCAGGATGTTGGGCCATTTCTCGTCCAGCCTGGCAAAAACTGAAACTTGTCGAACCAGCCGCGCACACATGACAAACCCCTGGCGCGATTTATAGCTATCTTATAAACCCAGCAGTTTACAACCGCAGCGGCGACCCTCTCCCTCTTCGTGCCGCCTGGCCCGTTGTTTTCTGGGTACGGGTCAAAATTACAACACCAGGGGACTGCGAATGTGTGTCCTTAGTTCCATTTCCCTGGTTCCCATTTTGGGTACCTATTTTTGACCCACAGCCTTATCAGTATCAGAGTCAGCCCCCGAAAAAATGATCTGTTGAAGTAAGAGAATCAAATCCGCACTGGATCAACTGCTGGGGCATAGCATCAAAACAAATTGACAGGGACGAATGTCACTGTTCAGCTGGTGCCCTAATTGACATAGTCAGTGGGTGGGGTACCTCCCCTTAGATGCTGAAGACGGAAATCGCTTGCGTCGCCGAAGGAGCAGATGTTCATTGTTTGCGCAAAGGATTCCAGGTGTTGGCTCCTACAAGACACTTTCACCCGGTTCATTTAGTTCAATGAATGACCTGGATTTCTTTTACCTTGGGGTAACCAAAAAGTCATGACGCTCTTGATTCCGATGGTGAGGTATTGTCGGATCAGAGTTCCCAGCCGTTTCGCTTGCACCACTGGGCAGAATAACTTTAACTTCTGGTGTTGACATGTGGCCATGGGTCAAAACCCCGTACCCCCAGTGAACATCCCAATCCCCACTAAAATAGATTCTAAAATGGGTGGCGCACCGAAAACCCCTGGCCAGCTTTTCAAACCGGTTGGAACGTGAATGAGCCCCGAAGCAACTCCGTTTTCTGCATTCTTCAGACACCCAAAAAACAACCTCTCATCAACCTAAACCGAGTTGCTGCCAAATCCGTAAAACCCAAGGAAGCCCAACCAAACTTCTACGGGTTTGTCATACTTTGAAGACCCACTATCTGATGGCTGTCCGCCGTTAACGGTCCGTGGCCATACGTGTCTCTATTAGCAACCCTTTGTGACGGCTCTCTAGAGGGTTGATGACCATCCCCACCAACCCCAAGCAAACCCGCTCTCCCATCGCACAGCGAAAAAAACGGGAAAACCCCCATCGAGCCCAAGAGACAAAAAAGAAAAGCACACGGCTGTGCTGCCGCCAAACGGTTGCTGTCCTAGCTATCCTTTGAAACCCATCCAAGGGGTCTCCCACTTGGAAACATGCGCCAATGACCGCGCCCCCGTTTCGGGGGAGCCGTGGCAAGGGGGGAAAAAGAAGAAGCCCAAGTATCCTCCGAAGTGGAGCCTCACTCTGGAGGTGATCGCTCAATCTTTTCTCAAAGAGTGCATCTAAATTGATGGGGGAATCCAGGCTCCACAAAGACTTCTTGGTGGGGATAGCCAATGGACCGTCTTCCCGGCCCAAACCGCCGCCCGCGGAAACCGCCTCTGCAGCACTGCAACAGGGGCTCCTGTGCGGAAGTCGTCCCTACATCCCTTCAACCCCAGAAAGGTACACGGCATAGCCCGCGGACTTCACTGCTACCCTCGTTGAACTCCCTCTTCTCAACTTCCACCTTTTGTCCTGTACTCTCATTGCGCAAAACCCAAAGAACTTGTACAGTGTGTCTCGCATGCTGGCCATTGGCACATGAGCCATAGTTAATACCAACCAACTGACATGGGCATTTGGTGAGTAGACCTTGTGTACCACACATAATAGTTGTTCCAGTTCTTGTCAGTCAAGTGCAAAAAAGGAGAAAGAAACCGCCAGCTGTTTTAAAAGGAGGCCTTAACGGGGGGGGAACTTCCTTTTGTGCCGGAACCTGCTGGAAACCCACTGGCAGCATCCAAAGGCTTGGAGCCCTGACTGTGCCACGCGTCGCAGGCGGATCGAAGTTCGTCCGTTCGTGGTGAACCCGTGCGCAAATACGGTCATCCCTTAACCAGAAACAGCTTCAAACCTTGTTCTTGCTGGAATGCTAAGAAACGTCGCCAACCCTTGCGCGCCCCAAACAAGAGATCAAGCACTCCATACTCGCAGCCTGCACAGCCCACCCACACCCACCCAACCCAGCGCTCCCAGCAGGCCGCGCGCGAAAAGGCTCCTGCGAGCTTGGCCTCCTTTGCCAGCGCGGTATTGCTGAGCCGGTTGATGCCCTGCTTGAACTGCTTGAAGGCCTCCGCGTCCGCGTCGCCTCAGGTGCAGGGCATGCGGACCCGTGCGAAGAACAGGAGAGTTCCCAAGGCTGCCTGGATGGCTAGTATGCTGCTTGGGCTGGTTTGGGATACGCGTGGTGTTCAGTGTTGGGCTGAGTTGGAGTGGGATGGGAGACTTTAGGTGGGTTTTTAGGGTCGGAGCTTTTGTTTGCCAGGCGTGGGGCTTTGGGGTATTGACCACCTCTGAAGGGAGACAGCTCGGCGATCGGTCCCGTCCTCTATCTCGCTTCCTGAGTAAATGACCAAAGCAATAACATTGTTTTTTTCACTCTCAGGTAGCCTCCCAAAAAGTCCTGGAACTCAGGGAGTGAGCCGTGCCTGGTGAATCCCAGTAGACAAACAAAAGTCAGATTGCATGGCTTGCATACCACTTGCTGTAAGTGACGCCATGTGTTACTCGCTTTAGGGATA